CCCTCTGCGGGCACTTCATGACATGGGTACACTTACATACATACAGGCATAACACCCATAAACATAAAATAAAAATAAATAAATAAATAAATAATAAAATGAATTAGAATAATCAGAGTATCCATAAGTCACATTTTACATTCAAATCCATAGAAAATACACACTACTAAGAATTCCCTCAGCCCCAGGAGTAGAGTGGAGGCAACAATGGAGTCATAAATTAGTATTTCTAGAGATGAAGGAGGCCAATGAGCTCAGAATAATAGAGATAACTTTGATAAGGATTACTATTCAAAGTTTATTAGGCTACATATGATTGTGGAGAAGAAAAATACTAAGCTCTAAGTTTAATATAGTTATGGTTCCATATTTTGGTCTGAAAAATCTTTAACAAATATGTAAGCACTGTAGACTGCACCACAGGATCATCAATTAGGAATACCATGTAAATGAAATGTTAAGTGCTATCATTTTTTCTTACTAAGTCATTACTCAAGCTCATGTTTTATCTCTCTCTTAGTTTCAATTAGGCTGCTATAACAAAATACTGACAAAAACACCGAAAGAGTTTATTTTGCTCTTAATTTCAGGTGACAGCCCACTGTTGCAGGAAGCCAAGGTGGCAGGAACTTAAAGCACTGGTCACACCAACAGTTAGGAGCAGGGCAATGATGTATGCCTATACTTACTTCTCCTATTCTTACAGAGTTCAGGATCTCCTGCTTGGTGAGTGGTGCTACCCAGTGTGTGGGTCCCCCATCTCAACTCATGGAATCAGGACAATCTCCCACAGACAAGTCCACAGACCAGCCTGATCTAGACAACTGCTCCTTAAGAACTGAGATTCTCTCCCAGGGGATTCTAGATCATTCCAGGTTGACAATTATGACTATCACAAAACTAACTGGTTATGATATGAAAAAAGTCATTACATCCATCTAGACCCCCACTTTCATATCCACGAAAAGGAGAAAATAAAACATATATATATATATATTTTAATCATAAGCTAGGCTAACATGGAAATCTCCTTAGTCCTGTTCATTTTTAAACACTGCTTTTGACTAACAGTATTAGGCCCCTGTGGATCTGACAGTTGTCAGGATATTTACTTTCAAATTAAAATTTTCACCAGTAGTTTTAATAATAGAAGTTAGTGGATCTGTAACACAAAAGATGTACATAACTTTAGACATCACTGCCCTCAAGAAGATCTGACAGCAACTACATAAATTTTAAAACAATCTCATTCACCTTTTGGTAGTACATCAACAGTAGAAGAAATACATTCTGAATGATCTAAACCACAGGTATTCTGATTATCTTCTTTAGGAAATAATGCTTCCAAATTACTCTGATGCAAGGATAAAGGCTGTCTTAATGACACTGAAGAGGGAATATCAGGTGATGTTACTGATATAATGTTGCCACACTGTGTTTTCTGTTTATCAGCATCACCGCGACCACCACCACCACAACCATTATCATCACCATCATCATCATCATCATCATCATCATCATGATCCGAAGTTAATGGAACCCTAAAGGCAAGTGAGAAGGAAATGAGAAATTCATGAGAAATTCTGTATTTTACAAAAATTATTTAGAAAGTAAAAGAAAATATTACTACATTTATGCCAATAAATTGACCCTTTAGAAATGGAAAAATTCTTTAAACAAAAAGTAAACACCTGATAAATAAGAAGTAGGAATACTCACATGTTTATTAAAGAAATGGGATATGGGCTCAGTGGTTAAGAGCTCATAGTGCTCTTATCCAGGACCCCAGTTTGGCTCTCAGAACCCCTGTAGAGCAGTTAACAATCACCTGTGACTCAGCTCCAAAGGGATCCAATGCCTCTGGCCTCTGCAGGCACCTGTGCTCAAGTGCCTATATCCTTACACAGACACATATATACATCATTTAAAATAATAAATATAAATCTTTTAAACAGTATACTATCAAAACTTTTCTACACAAAAACTATAAACTTAGATAACTTTTCTCAAACACTTAAAGAAAAATAATGCCAGCTTGCAACAAATACTTTCAGAAAAAGAAATGTTTATCAATTCATTTTATATGACTAGCATAATCTAAACACCAAAACCTAACAAAAATATATTATATGAAAATAAAATTACAAACCATTTTGATTATAACATTCATGAAAAATGCCTTTAGAACAATTAGCAATCAGAATTCTGTGATAGAGAAATAGTCTTCTCAGACATTCCTTATAGGAATGTAATGATGATTTAATATTTAAAAACTGGGCCTTGTAACTTGGGGACAGAGAGAGGGCCATGAAAAGCCTGATGACCTGAATTTGATCCCTGGAACCAATGAAAAGGTGAAAAGAAAAGTTTTACAAAGTTGTCCTTGGACTTGCACACACGAGGCACCCACACCCCCATATACACATTGCGTACACAGACACCAATAATACCAATTATTGTAATTCATTATGTGAATAAAAAACATTAAAAATTCATATACTACTAGAGTAAAACAAGAAAGCAGCATCTTCTCAATAGTGAGGAAAAGCATTTGATTAAAATCAACAGCTATTTATAAACAATCTTTCAGCAACTGGGAACACAGAGGAAATTACCATTTATTTTATTTGCTTTTTGCTTTTTTGAGAGTATCATTACACAGCCCAGCTGTACTCAAACTCACATAATTTGACTATCTAGAGAAATGGAACAATTCTTTAAATAAAAGTTAAAAACCTGACAAAGAAAAACTAGAAAATCTGAATGTTCTTGATATAATTAAAAGAAGTAGGATATTATCAAAAGTCTTTGGACAAGAAAACTATAGGCTTAGGAACAACAAGCGGATACAATGGCTAAAAGCATTGTCATGCAAGTCTGTGGGCGAGTTAAATTTCCAGAATCCACACTGGAAAGGGAGACCTGACCCATGAAAGTTGTCCTCTAAACTCCACACCCACACTCGGGTACATGTGTGCCTACACACACACACACACACACACACACACACATACACACATCATGCATACACACACATACACATAATAATGAAAAAACAACTGTGGGCTCGGTTGAACATGGTCACACACACCTCCCATCCATCACTTGGGAGGCAGAGGGAGGTGACAGAGATGGGCCAGCCTGGTCTACATATTAAGTTCCAGGCCAGCTGGGGCTACAGAGAGACCCAGTCTCAAAAAACCAAAGGAAAAAAACAACCACCAACAACAAAAAAACCCAAACACCACCCCACCAAAACCAAAACAAACACAAAACCCTTGGGCTTAGATAACTTTCCCCAGCTTTTAGCTAGCATTGAACCTATCTTTCTGCCTCAGCTTGGAACTTTCTTAAACCCACAAAGAGAATTTGGAGAATCCAAATGCTCACATCATATCTAGCAATGGGAACACAGTAGGATGTCTTCTCTTATTAGTTTTATTCAGCTTTGAGCAAGAAGTAGCTTCTGCACTAAAATGAGAAGGAAGAGAAGAAAGGCCTGCCCAGCAAATTAGGTAGTTAAGGACCAGGCAGGTGGCTCTCTCCTTTAATCCTAGCAACCCCACACTCAAGCAGATTTCCATGAGATTGAGGCCAGCCTGGTAATGTGTTCCAGGGCAGCTTATCTCAAAAAAGAAAACAAAATGAATGAACGAACAAACAAACAAAAAACTAGAAAGTTAAGGGGAAAGAAACCCGTATTTACAAATAATAAAATTGCATTCATAGTAAATTCAAAGAGAAAGCCCCATCAAGCTGTTAAAACAAGCTGTTATTAACAAGGTCTCTGGAAACAAAGTTAATATCCAAAAAATTAACTGTATTTGTGCATACTAACATCAAGACAAATTTTAAGAAACAACAAAGCTGGGTATTTTGGTGCATGCCTTTAGTAATTCCAGCATTCCAGAGGTAGGGGTAGGAGGCAAGGAATTCAAGACCAGCCTCACTGAGTTTGAGGCCACCCTGAGCTACTTAAGACCCTGATTCTGAAGGATCCAGGTCACACTGGCTCCATTTTTTAGCAAGCCTCCATCTTGTCAGCCTTAAGTTTCTGCTAAGTCTCCTTTGTCTCATACTACGGGCTGCTCTGCCCAGACATGCCTTGCTTATCTGAGTCTAACAGAAACCAACTGAAATTCCTGACCATAAAAGGAAAGACTGAGACATTCCAGGTGGCCGACCATGACTATAACCAATGAGATTTCCCCTGTACAAGGAATTCAGTTATCCAATCAATTCAAAGGTTGCCCAGTTTGCACGGGCTTTTTCAAGAGTACCCAATTAGAAACCCCCCCAGGTCATTATTGGTCAGGGCGGATTCCATTATTTGGCTCCTGGAGTCTGTGCCCGACTGGTCGTTCAAAATTGGAATGCTTTTCAATAAAATTTTCTAAATTTCGAATTTTACTGGGTGGTCTCCAATCATTCCCAAACCCTGTACCTCAACATTTTGGGGGCTTATCCAGGATTTGGGGATATTGGACAGACCTCCTTTTTTTTCTGGGAAGAGTGCTCGTCTGCTGCCGGCCAGCTTCAGTGAGTTTTTCTCTGGTTTCTGTTTCTGGTGTCCGGACAATCTGGGGCTCACAGGAGACCAGGCAGACGCACTATTGGTCTCAGAGCCAGAGGAGTCTGGGGGATGCCCCGAATCCTCTCTTGGTGGGGGATCCAGGGGATATTCTGGCCTGGCCCCCTTTGGGAAAGGAGCGGTCTTTTCAGCTGACTGCGCGCTGTGAAATTTTTCTGCCAGCTCGCAGGGAGCTTTCCTTCTTCGGTGCTCTCTGCTTCTTTCTTGCAGTTTTGCTTCCGTTACCGTGTGATTCTCTTGCTCCTGTTTGCCTTAATACCCTCTCCTCCTATTCTTCCTTGAGATCTTTCCCAAGATGGGTCAACAAGTTTCCTCTATGCCTCTTGACCTAGTCCTTGACAACTTCTGAGATTTCCAGAAGGCGGCTTCCACGATGTCTGGACTACGGGTCAAGCCTGACTGCCTGAGGACTTTCTATTCCATTGAATGGCCCTCCTTTAAAGTTGGCTGGCCCTTGGAAGGCTCCTTTGACTTAACTCTCATTTACAGGGTGCATGAGGTCGTCTTTGGCTCTCCAGGACACCTGGACCAGTTCCCTATATCTTAGGCTGGCGCTATTTGGTCTCAGACCCTCCGAATGGCTGAAACCTCACCTTCCTCCCCCAGGTTCAAGAGCGCCAGTCACTCTCCTCCCTTTGAAGGAAAAGGAACCCAGGGGGGGCCTCAAAACCACTGGTAACCCCCCCCCCGCCATCGGCCCCTGAGGAAGAACTCCTCTTTCCACCTCCCTATGCTCTGGCCACAACCCCAGGGAGCCAACATCTGGAGGGCTCTCCACCCCCTGCAGCCCGACCACGAGTCCAGCCCCGCCCCCCAACCCAAGGAGTCAGAGGACTCTCTTCAGCCTCCAGCCCCACCTCTCCTGGCCCGAGCTCACTGCACACTAGATCACGAGGAGGGTAGAGTTGTTTGAGCCTTGCCGCTGAGGGAAGTCAGCTACCACCACCACCACCACCCCCCCACCCCACCCCGCCAAACACAGACGGGGGTGACCCCCTTAGCTTACTTCCCTTTTTCTATGAGTAACCTCTATAACTGGAAGTTTCAAACTCCCTCCTTTACAGACAAACCACAAGCTCTAATCAGCCTTCTGGACACTGTCCTTTTTATCCACCAACCTACTCGGGATGATTGTCAGCAGCTGTTGCAGGTCCTTTTTACCACTGAGGAGAGGGACCGGATCTGACAGGAATGCTGCCGGCTGGTCTCGGGTGACCCATGGGCAACTAACTGAAAATGAGGACTTAACAGCTGCTTCCTTTCCCCTTACCCAGCCTATGAGAGGATGGGAATACAAGGCTGAAGGCAGGGAGTGCCTGAAAGTCTATCACCAGGTTCTAATGGAGGGTCTCCAGGCCACTGCGAGGCGCCCCACAAATTTATCTAAGGTCAGTCAGGTAATACAGGAAAGGACAGAAACACCAGGAGCTTATCTAGAATGTCTCCTAGAGACCTATAGGACCTACACTCCCTTGGACCCAGAAGCACCAGCAAACCACATGACAATTAATATGGCCTTTGTAAACCAGGCAGCCCCTGACATCAAGAGAAAGCTCCAACGCCTTGAAGGATTTGAAGGTAAAAATCTAATGGAATTGGTAGCAGTGGCTAATAAGGTGTATAACAATAGAGAGACCCTGGAGGAATGACAAACGAAAGGGCTTGCCAAAATTCTCCTTACTGAAAGAGGAAAGCCTGCACACCCAAGGTTCAAGGCCCAGATGACTGGAGGCCGCCCCTACGCTGGGGAAGTAGGGAAAAACCTCCTCTTAAAAAGGATCAATACATTTATTGAAGGGAGTTGGGTCATTGGAAGGGCAAATGCCCCCTCAAGAGACAGGGAAAAAGGCCCAAGGTCCTGGAGCTAACTGAGATAGAGGGCTGAGGGGGACAGGGCTCGAGGACCCTCCACCACAAGCCCTGGGTAACTCTACAGGTGGAGGGACGACC